CTCTTCAAAGGGTACCATGAAAAAGATCCTGGAAAAGAATTGGTTAGATGAGAAGTAGTATAATAGAAAGAAAACTTGGGTCTAGTCAAATAACTGAAGATTAGATCCACCTGAATTAAGTGCTGACACCTTAAAATAATTTGATGCAGTACATAAATCTGAGTGGTTGACAAAAATATTAAACAATTGACAATGACACCACGACATATAATCAACATACATTGAGATATATCTAAAACGATTGAAAAAAACATCATGATATCCAATTGTTGTATAATAATTAAAAACTGACCCTCAACGCTTAAACTGCAAATACTATAGGACTTGAATCGGGCGGAGAACACATTAAAATCAACTAAAAGGAAACAAATAAAGTGACATCATAATTTAATAAAGCATACAAAGAAATAAAAGATAACAATACAGGTAAAATTGACTGAAGGTCATATTTCATTCATATCATTCTTTAGTTACATGTATTTTTTAACAAAAAACTTTCATATGCATTGGTTTGATTACATAAAAATCCAAATTTTAGAAGTCTTCAGGATGAGTGCTAGATGATGCAACGTCCATGGAATTATCTCCCTCAGACTCTTCTTTATGTACATAATGTTGAATTAGAGGTGAAAAGTTTTTGGAACTCATTGAGATCCGAGTACTTAGGTTCAACCATCCCAACTTTGATGAATTGGTTGATTTCCACCTTGGTACCTGCCTTAAGTCGTACAACCTATGTTAAAACACTCCTTGGGTGTCTTCATTATGGCCATCTTCTTCGTTAATTCAACATTCTGCTCCTAAATGGCAACTACCCACTCTGATACAATCTCCCAATCTTCCCCTAATCTCGCTCATGCCTTTAACTCTTTAGCCTTCATCTTTGCTTTCAAGGCTCAGTCTGTCTCTTGAAGAGACATAAAAGATATATGATGTGTGGTTGTGAGTTTGAGCAATTGATACCAGTTGACCATGAGACATAAGTGTTTGGTTTGGAGGTTATCCTAGAACTTTTGTAGGCCCTCCAACCAAAGCACATCGACGATGGTCAACGTAAACTCTTCTGTCCTCAAGGTTTGTAAGAGGCAATCCCTAGTGAAGTTTATTAGGGAAAAAAACTAGAGTTTGTTATGAGAAAGTCCTTTGGTTGCTCCTCCTGTTACGGGCTCCAGTATTCCTTATTTCCCTTCTGCTTCTTCTAAGGAAGTAAGGGGAGGGAAGAATTAAAATATTGGGTAGGAGCTTTACCCTTCTGATAATGTCATTCTTTATTAGGAACAGCCAGCTCGCGCAATGGGGAAACCCTTGACTCAAGTTCCTCCTCTTCGATCGTGTTTTCCTTTAGGCTTTCCACTTCTGCCTGATCTCCCGGTGCAGCTGAAAACCTTGGAGAAGGTGATGGACTCCTGCCTTTCAGTAAGAGGAATAAAATTGAAGGAAGATGAACAAGACACTCCTTGTATCGAAATCCACTCTAAGTATCCCTCAACATTCCATCAAATGATGTTAGGTGTCAACTCTTCTTTTGTCCACCTCATCAGAAGCAGCCCATAACTCAAGGGTCTTAAGTCCAAACTGCGCAGGGTTCAACATCTATTTTACTGTCATAGGGTTGAAGTACTGGATGACCAACAGATGTTTCTCTATAACAATCAAAGCACGCCTCAAGACTCGCTGAGGGACACCCTTTTTTTCTTATATGATTATTCATTTGGCCTTGTGGTGATTCCACTGTCATTATAGACACCATGGAGGAACAAAAAATTTCCAATCCTTGATTTTATTCTCCAGATCAATTAGATGGAATTTTCATGTTGAGCCAAATACAATGGAGTCATCCAACTTTACTATGAAAGAAAACAAACAGGAGAACATCTTTCGAGAGCAAAGGATCTCTATCTATCATAGGTAGATAACGAATGTCATCATTATAGTGATTGAATTTGATTTTATTTACATAGGTATGACTCTGTAGTGGTTAAATATTGAATGGACCGCATGGTAAAATGGAAGTCAGAGTCTTTAATGACACTAGTCCTATTAGAAGATCAAATCATCGTCGAAGTGGTCAGCCGCCCTCCCCTCTAGCTCCACCGCCTTGGGCACCATGCTTGTGTTGTATATAAAATAATCTTCCAAGAGATCCATATCAAATAATGTGAGAGTAGACCTTTTGATCATTGAGACAAAACAAAATAATTGTGGATAGTATTTAAAAGCCATGAGAAACAATCGAGGTGAACTGACTCAAGGGAAAGATAAGAGACAACAAAAAATAAGGAAAATGGAAATTTCAAAATGTGTAAACCCACCTATATATAAGGTAAGCAAGGATTTTGAAACACCTAAAATCCTTACCTCTACTCCAAAAAATAACGTCATATCTGCATAAAAATCGAGAAAACGAAGTGATATGAAATTTTTGAAATTAACAAAAAATAAATTTTTATTTATGAAAGAAAATAATTTACGTTTGGGTTTTCAACCTCCTCGAACAATACTAAACTCCAACTTACGGGACTCCGATACTACCACGACCCCTAAAATTAAACTTTTTGACATCCTTTTTCTCCGCACGGATCTGGGAGATCAAACTATTCATTCGGACCTCTGACAGATCCATCTGAAGAGTCTCCATCTCCATCTGAAGAGAAACTATATCTGCGTAAAGGACTGTCAGCTTTTCCTTCAAGTCTCATATGACAAACTCTTTCTATAGGCTAGCTTCCCAGGAAAAGGAGTCCACCACTTCGTCCATCCAATGTGCCAGGGATGCCAGTGATCCCCGCAGACCCTTGGTCTCCCCTTTGACATCTTCAAGGCCAAACAGATCGCCAGGTGTGCCTCTGCCATGGGTAGGAACAAAAGGTCTCTCAACTGCCGCTAGAGCGAAGGGGTTCACCGACTTCCATTATCTATAAGTCAATATTTTGTATAATCTCATTGCAAAATAATTAGATATCATAAAATAGAAAAGGATCAAATCTACTTAGTTGAAGAGAAATAAATTTTCTTACATCAATCATCCACTCTATCTCCGACGATTGGAGTCTCTCACGAGCATGCAATTGGACAACCACATGGCTGGCCTCACCGATCGAAGGAAAGGGGGTTGCATCTTTGTGTGGTTGAAACCAGGTCTCAACGACCGCCTCAACTAGTTACTGAGCCCGCTCACAAATTGGAGTCAACGCAAGGACTGACACATTATTGGTGTGCACATCGTCACTGCTCCCCATCTCACAATGGAGCGACCCCAAGTCATTTGATTTAACCACTTTCTCTATTCTTTGTTTTTTCATGATCACTTGCTTGGTCTGCTTCTCTTCTTCTGGCCTCTTCAAAATGATCAACTAACCTTCTCCCTCCAGCCTCTTTGCTACTACGAGTAATCCCTTATCCCCGACTTCTTCTTTATTAAGGATCGACTACTCTCTAGTTTCTTTTTCTCCCGTGTTCTTTTGAAGGCGGAGTGTTTCAGTCGAAAGTCAAAATGCCTTCATCATGGCCACCTCATTTACAAATTTCTTGCTACTCTTCATTACTTACTTCTGCTATCAATTGACCGAATGACCTAAAATTAAAAAAAAAGTGCGACGGAGAAGTGTTGGTAACGACCTATTTATATGGAATACAAACACAGAATTTTAGAAAGTTCAATTATTAAAAGTACTTCAAAATGAGTTAATTTTTGTATTTAATTCTCTTATTTTTATAGCAGTTGTCACTTTCAAGAAGTAAGAGAATTTGAGAATTAAATATCTGCATTAAAACTGTGATAACATGTATTTAATTTCTCTCTCTCTTTGTGTTCCTCTGTCCTTCCAATTCTATATACATTGGGTTTGATCCACAAGATATATATTGATTCAACATCTGATATATTTGGTTAAGATATAAATATTTTAAAAATATTCAAAGCACCTAAAATTATTTTGAGTGTTTCAAAAAAAATTTAAAATTTGTTTTTAGAAATAAAAAATATATTAAAAAAAACACTAAACAATAAAACATGTTTCTAAAAATAAAAAAATAAAATTGATCCTAAACAAATCTTTAACTTACATAGGTGTTATTTCTAAAGAATTTAAGCAAAGGTTAAATATACATCCTGCCAAACAATTTTTCTGAAATTTTATCACATGATTTATTAATTCTCCAATTCACAAATGTTGATGGTTTAATAATTCATCCTCTCATACATCTTAAAATATTAAATAAATAAGTAAATATTTTTTAAAAATGTAACAAAATTCAATAATTACGTTGTCAAATAAATTCCAAATTCTAATACTCATAAATTTTATTAATTATGAATTTACATGATATCCCAATTGCCATAGCCAGCCCCCCTGCCCCATGCAAGCTACAGATTTCAAATTTGGGAATTTGCCACGGCTACCTAGAATCCTCCTCTCCAAAAATGGCTTCCACTAAAAAAGTCCTTTTTCCTACAAAATTCTTTTGCGTTTTGGATGTCAAATTGGAGTAAAACAAAACATGACGTGGGCAATGATGCAATGAAAAACATGATGGTTGTCTTAAAAAAAAATATAATTATAATTAAAACTGCTGAACTAGAAATTAATTAAAAATCAATGCTAATCTATCCAGCAAGTGCATTGCTACCTAATGTTTTCATTTTTTTATTTCGAAATAGATTTTTTTATAGTTTTTAATGCAAAGGCATTTCGGTGGGCGGCCTTGCTCTGCCTTTTACAAATCTTCTTTTTGGCCGTAAATCTGATTAAGAATCCATCTTTGATGCGCTGCTGAATAAGTTCAGCAGAATTAAAAGGGCAAATTTCGTCTTTTTTCTTCTGTACTGAATTTTTTCTGGAGCCCTCCTTGCAACCGCATCTCTGCTTCCGGCCATGGAGCCTAAATTTTTCTGTATTTTTCATATTTGTCGGTCCTCTTTCTGAAAATCGTAGTTTTTTGCTAATTCACTGAGAAAATTAGGGGAAGATAGGTTTTTTAGCGGGCTCGGATCTGTGGACTCGAATCTTAATTTCTGTGGCTTGATCTTCTTGATCGTTTTCACTAGGTTTTTATTTCCTTAATCGGGTTTCATCCATGGCGTCAGGTTATTAAATGTTTCTTCCTCCCGCTCCGTTCAGCACAACGCTGTTGCTGTTATATTCATTTGTCGTCATCGAAATTCTGGATAGAAAAGATTTCTGAGACATAGGGTTTAGGGTTTTCTTTTGACCAAGTTCGGTCTTTTCTAGGTTTGAGGATTCTCTTGTCCTGGAGCTCGATCTATTTAAAATCTCTTTCACTTCGCTATCTGCGCGACCACTGAAGTAACCCTGATCGTGCGGCGAAAACTTTCTACTATTCTGTCAATTCATTCTTTTCTGACTTCAACGATCTCCATTATTTCTCACTGTCACAGTCTCCAAAAACCTCGACTTTGCATGCATGGAGGTGAGGTCCGATCCTTCAATGATCCCCAATAGGGACTCATTCACCATCAGCGTTCAGAAATCTCCGGCAACATCGCCGACGCCTGCGGCACAGAGCATTCGAATGCCATACAGCAGCGACGGCCCGCCGGCCTTCAGGCCAGCTTCTTCTTCAGCTTCATACCAGGTAGGCGGAGCAGAGTTACCTGCAGCGCAGATTATGGCCGTAAACACAGGGGAGTCCGTGAAGCGGAAGCGTGGGCGGCCGAGGAAATACGCCGGCGATGGGAAGCCGGCCGTTGGGAAGTCAGCCGCACCATTGTCATCACCTGCTTCTACTGGATTCTCTTTGTCCTATACCTCATCTGCAACTCCTCGGTCTCGGGGGTCATCTTCACTGCTGCTGGGGAATATGAAGAAGTCGAAAGGACGGGCGTCTGGTTATGGGAAGAAGCTTCAGATGGATGGTTTAGGTAAAGATCAAAAATTTTTTTTTTCAGGTTTTGAAAAGCTTGCTCTTTTTGGTGGGGGTTTGGACTAGAGCTTCCCATCATGAGTTTTTGTACTTATTTTGTTCTGTCTGAAATCTATGCAACAGTAAAGTAGAGGTGGAATGACCAATATGCCCGTTGATGTGGTGGTTAGCTTAGCTGTAGGATTTGACATCCAAGATCTAACGGGTATTTAGGAGATCCACTCATTTATCTACTTACATAAAAATTCTTTTTTTTTTAATTATTAAATGGTGAATGATAAATCTCAAAATATTCGGCTGGAATAATCTGTAATTTTAATGAAAAAAATTGTTCTTCAACCTAACCTTGGACGATTGGGCTGCGGATTCTTTCGCCTGCCTATATTTTTCCGTAGCTGTAGAAGTTACAGAGGTGTAAAATGGTGATTTTGGTACGGAAGCAATTTACTAGTTTTAGTTCCATTTGTGTTTGTTTTATCATATGATTATATATTTGGTGGCATTTACATAGATACTGCTCAATTTCTATGTATTTACATATCTAACACCTAAACTTTGCTATTTACAGCTTTATCACCCAAATCTTTCATATCACATAACAAATACATGTATTTTAACTTTTAAAAAGTGAAATACACCTTTTATTGCATAGGCAAGGTGGTTTGTATGTAAAAATTTAAGTTTAGGTGTTAGATATGTAAATACATAAGAATTGAGTGGTATGTATATAAATCTTTCTATATTTTTTCTTGTATATATATACATAAATAATATATATATATATATATATATATATAGATATATATATATATATCTATATATATGTATATATAACCAAACGGGTGTTCTAAAATATGTTTTGGATCTATCTAGTATTGTATTTATTTTTGCTGGATTTATTATGTTTGAGTAATAAATAAAATTCAAATTTCTTCTATGTCTAGTCTTACTGGTTTTGTTCTATTACTACAAGTTATTTATTTTTGTTAATCCGTGTTGCTGTATTATGTTCATTTACTTCTCAATTGTTTTATTTACAATTTTTTTTGTTTCTATGCTAAGAAAAATTTTACTTACAGGATTGGGTGGAATCGGGTTTACTCCTCATGTAATCACAGTTAAAGCTGGTGAGGTATATCTGTTTTTTATTTTCTCATGCAAGGAGCTAACTTTTATGATGGGCAAAAAATGAACATGCTTGTTTTCTACTTGATTGCATCCATCGATAATAAAAATGCAGGTTTTGGATTATTATGCCATGGTTATATATCTTAAAATTTTGATGATATACTAGCTGTGCAATTTCTAAACCTTTGTTAGGGGCTGCTTGGTTTGTTAAAAAAGGAATACAATGTAAAAGTAATATATTGTATTTGCAATAATTTGAAAATGTTAGTTTCGCTGTAAAATTAATGCAAATCTTTATATTTTCTTGTTTAATTGAAGATAATTGAAATTAATGCAAAATACATGACGGTCGGGCGATAGCAATTAGCAGATAAAGATTAGCCGCCACGGGCTGCAGCAACGAGCAACAATCTATGTAAAGCAGTATTTTTGAAATTTGCCCAAATCCAATGAATTCCAAATACATTGAAAGTGAACTAGAGAATAAATTCCAAATGCATTGTAATTTTATATTGTATTATGAATTTATCCAACCAAACACCCAAATTTCAGAAACTCCAGCAAAAGGTGCAATGCACTTGCAGCGAACCAAACAGCCCTTGGTGAATCTTTGCTTTGAATCTTTTGAATGTATTTTGTAATCTTTGAATGCTTGTTATTTCTACGTTGTTATTTGTAGTAGATGTTTATTGATGTCTTATAATTATACAATATGGTCTTAATTAATAAACATATATGATTACATTCATGCTAAGGATGCATTCTTTGCTCATCGCGTTTGAAATTTAACTTAGGACTGTTAATTGGTCATCTTATTGGGTAAAATTACTTTGATGGTACATATTGTCTATTCATAAAGAAGATCAGCAGTAAATGTAGCTGATTTTAAATTTTCTAATCTCTGATTGATTTCTAGAAAGGATTTGGAATTACGAACTCTATATCAAGCTCTAATTTCTCCCTATCTTCTTGCTTCGCTGCAATCTTCTATTATGTCAATATTTCATCTTCGATGAAGATCCAATCCATAGCTTCTGAATGATTTCTATTTGAGAACCCAACTTTTTGTGGTATTGCCAATTAGCTGCCAGAAGTCTTATTTGAATTGCTAACAGCCTTTCTTATCTTTTTAATATTTTTTTATTATCTAGCACTAAAGTTGCACATTTGGCTTCTTGATGCAAATTTGAAAGTCGATATTTATAGGAAACACAAAATTTTGTGCGTTAAGGTCAACAATTTCATAATTCGAGTGTTGTTTCTAGCTACACTTTGATTCAATTTAGTTGTTTTTTTTATTTTTGGTTATGATTTTACCATATTTTACTGAAAGATTTACATGCATACCGCATAATTCTTATTTATTTACGTATTGAACACCCAAAATTTGATATTTATACATATAACACTCAAATCATGAACATCACATTAAAAAATGTTACCATTACTATCTTTTTAAATTTGATATACGTCTTTTCATATCTATATTTATAACATCAAGGTATTATAAATGTAAATATCATAGTTTGGGTGCTAGATATTTTAAATATGCAAGTACGTAAGAATTTTGTGGTATGCGATCATCGAGATTATAAAGATTTTAAGGTCATTCTAAGTAAGAATTTAATTACTCGATGTCGATTATTAGTTTTGGATTTTAAAATAAAGAGTTGTAAAAGAAAGAATGCTGGGAATTGTTGTCATAGAATTAGATGGGGGCGCCTAAAAGACACAAATAAACTTAATTTTATGTTTAAACTGTAAGATTTGAATATTTGGGATGTTCATGAAGAATCAAATTCTATATGGGATAAAGTAACAAACACTATTAAACAAGTGGAAAAAAATGTAATTGGAGAATCAAAAGTAAAATTTTCTATAAATAAAAATAGTTGGTAGTGGAATAATAATGTGCAAGAAAAGATAAAATATAATAAATTATGTTATAAAAATTGGTTTGAATGTAAAAGCTTAGGGGACTAAGAAAATATAAAATGACTCTTAGGTAATATGAGAGAACAATCTGTGACGCTAAAAATTTTGGTTTTAGTGATCTGCATAATATATTAAATACTAAAGAGGGCAAAAAATATATGTATCAACTAGTCAATTAAAGGGAAAAATAATGATTTAACTCAAGTAAAGTGTATTAAAGATGAAAATAAAAAAATATTTTATCTTAGAAAAGTATATTAACTTATATGGGTGAGTTATTTTGATAAGTTTTTCAATGAAGTTTCTAAAAATATCATTTAACATAGCAATCTTAATATCGTTAATAATAATAAAATGTTTCATTTTCACCACCACATTAGTAAAAAGGAGTTCATAATGCTTTAAAGAAAATCAACTGTGAAAAGTCAGTAGGACCTGATGATATTCCAATTGAAGTGTGGAAATATTTAGAAATTTGGGTGTTTCTTGGCTTACTAAACTCTTTAATATTATTTTAAAAACTAAAAAGATGTTTGAGGAGTGGAGGAAGAGTATTATGGTCCCCATTTTTCAGAATAAAGAGGATGCACAAGAGTGTGCAAATTGTAGAGGAATTAAGTTGATGTGTCATACTTTAAAATTATGGGAGAGGATAATTGAAGATAGATTAAGACGTGTTACAAAGATTTCTCACAATCAATTTGAATTTATGTCAGACAAGTTTACTATGGAAACTATACATTTATTGAGAGGTTTGATGAAGAAGTACAGAGAGAATAAAGATGATCTACACTTGATTTTTATCGATTTAGAAAAAGCTTACGATAAAGTTCCAATAGATATCCTTTGGAGAGTTTTAGAGAACAAAGGTGTTGATATGATTTACGTTCAAGCCATTAAATATATGTATAATACATCTGTTACTTGTGTTCGAACAGGAGGATTGACCAAATATTTTCTTATTTCAATTGGATTACATCAAGAAATGGCTTTAAGCCCAATCCTTTTGCTTTAGTTATGGATTTTTACTGAACATTTACAGGAGGATGTACCTTAGTGCATGTTTTTTGTTGATGATATCCTTCTTATCCTTCTTGTGGATAAGACTAGAGAAAGAGCTCAAGAAAAACTTGAATTATGAAAGTCGACTTTGGAGTTTAAAGGCCTTCATTTGAGTAGAACTAAAACTGAATATATGGAATGTAATTTTAGTAGTAGTAGCTCTAGGGACAGAGTTGTAACTATGGGTAATCATATTATTAAAAGGTGTGAACGCTTCAAATATTTCGGGTCTATTGTTCAAAGTGATGGTGATATAGATGGGGATGTTATTAGTAGAATTCAAGTTGGTTGATTGAAGTGGAGGAATGCTTCAGGCCTATTGTGTCTATTGTGTGATAGAAAAGTACCGCTTAGACTGAAAGGAAAATTTTATAAGAGTGGTGAGACCTATAATGTTGTATGCCGTAGAATGTTGACCTTTAAAAGAGAAGCACAAAATTAAGTGTTGCGGAGTTGAGAATGCGTAGGTGGATGAGTGGCTTTACACTTAGAGAAAAGATGCAAAATGAATATATCCGGGATAGGGTTGGTGTAGCTCCTATGGCTGACAAAATTAGAGAGAGCCGAATTAGATGGTTTAGTCACATTAAATGTCGACCATCTGATGATCCGGTTAGGAGAGTAGTTGTTTTAGGTTCAACTTATGTTAAGAAAGGTAGGGTAGACCTAGAAAGATCTTAGCATATTGTATAAAAAATGATCTTAATTTATTAGAATTAAATGAAATTATGACATTCAACAGGATGTAATGGAGAAAAAAGATTCATTTAGCAGACCCCACTTGGTGGGATAAAGGCTTGTTGTTGTTGTTGTTGTTGTTGTTGCCTGTAAATTTTCCTAGTTTATTTTGGTGTAAAAATGCCTAAGATGATGATCCATATTGGAACGGGTTGGATATAAATGCTTTGATGGAAATTTTTGAGCAATACTAAACTATTTTTTCTAGCATAGATTGTTTTGTTGCTTTCCTCAACAATTTCTCTAGAGCAGTCTCGCAAACTGTATTTTAGGGGCATTTACATACATACCACACAATTTTTATGTATTTACATATCAAACAACTAAACATTCATATTTACATGCATACCATTTAAATCTTTAACATCACATCATAAATACCTTCATCATTGTCTTTTTAGAATTGAAATGAATCTGTTCATTCATAGGTTTATGACACCAAGGGATTATATGCGTAAATATCAAACTTTGGTTGTTAGATATGTAAATAGATAAGAATTTCATGTAATTTTCCAATATTGTATTCTAATGATTGATTGTTGCAGCATGCGTCACCCAATAAGGGATTTAATCTTAAGTTAAAGTGCAGACTGTCTTGTTGAGAAAAGATTATAGGTCATTAGGGATGATAGAGTGATTGTGGGACGCATTAGAGGAGGGAGAAAGAAGAATTCACAATATTTGAGCTTTGGTTGTTGGATCTTTTGGTATTATATGTTGGTTAAATATTGTCCATTTTTGCTTTGAATCACTTAAATGATTCTAGAATTGTTTTATGGCTGGTGATGGTTGTGATGGTAATGGTTATATTATTGTCTTAGAAGATTTACATAAATACTACTTAAATCCTGGGTTTACATATCTAACTCCTAAACTTCAATTTTTTAAATATTCCACCTTACCAATGCATGAAAAGGTGTGTTTAACTTTTTAAAAGTTAAAATAGTGGTATTTTTTATGTGATATGATAGATTTGGGTGTTATGAATATAGTGTTATGAATATAATTGGGTGTTATGAATATAAAAATTTGAATTAGGTGTTAGATATGTAAATACAAAAAAATTGGGTGGTATGTATGTAAATGTCCATCTTTTCTTTTATGTTTCCCCTCGATCTATTATAATTGATTTCGGCACAACGCGGCATGATATATAAGTGGAAGAATGAAGATAAGTGGAACTTTGATTTGCATTAAGAGATATGATATGATGACACCTGAATAATTCCTAGTTTCCTTTGAATTTGAAGTTTATTTTTTGCTATTTTTTTGTTAATTCTTTAAGCATGCTTCATTTGATATTGATTGAAGTTCCCTATTATTTTTTTTAATTAGTTGATTGAATGTCCATTCAAATGTTTATATTTTATTTAATCGTCTTTAGATGGACTTTTTCTTAAATACTATAGATTAATACAAGGTTTAATTATAAAAATGCTATAGATTAATACAGGGTTTAATTTTAAAAGTGCGGGTTAATTTGTAATGGAATGACTACCTATCTTCTTATTGAGCTTCATGAATCTTTTGTGAATATAACATGTTCTATTTGTTTTGCTTAAAAGAACATTATTCATCTCTTTTTAACATAGCTTTCTTTGAAGTTTAACTAACACGGAGACTGTTCTTTAGGCAAGTTCATTCATTTTCTTGATGCAAAAAACTAAAAGAAATATTTATTTATTTTCTCGCCCATAATGTTTGACTTTTCTAGGATGTTTCATCAAAGATCATGTCATTTTCGCACCATGGACCTCGTGCAGTGTGCATTCTTTCCGCAAATGGTGCTATATCAAATGTGACTCTTCGTCAAGCCGCAACTTCGGGTGGCACGGTTACTTACGAGGTCTGTAATGTTATGAATTCTTCTCCAATAATATGAAAATCAAGTCTTTGAAAATTATAGTCAACTAACTTAAAAATTCACTTTTTTTCAGTGCATGAACAATGCTAGTCTTTAGGACATAAATGTTTTCGTTTGTTTTTGTTGCTCACCCTTGATCCTCCTCATCGTGTTTAATCACTGGCTGGAGTGAGACATTGAATTTGCTCCTTCGGCTGAACATGGAGCATTCTTCTTTGATTGAGCCTTCAGTTTTTTATTTATTTATTTATTTATTTAAGATTTAAATACACGTCACTCAATTCTTATGTGTTTACATATCTAACACCTAAACTTCAATTTTTGCATACACGCCTCCTTTAACCTATGCATGAAAACATGTATTTCACTTTTTAAAAGTTAAAATGGTGGTATTTTTTATGTGATATGTAAGATTTAGGTGGTATAAATGTAAAAGCAAAATATAAGTGTTAGATATTAAATACATAAGAACTGGGTGGTTTGTATGTAAGTGCCCCTATTTTTCTGAATAATGAAAATCAATTAAAATCGATTTAATTACAGAGCCATGGAATGGTGAAATGCAATAATTAGGCTAAACATATGTGCAATTTTATTTAATGTTATGCCATTTACAATCTATCTATAAAGCAAACATACTGTTTTGTCTTCAATTATTGTGAAACTTCGATACAAATTATATTCACCTCTGGTTGGTATGTCAAGGTTTATATAGAGGAAAAAGTATGAAAATATTCTGTGCATTATGATATTAAAGCTAATTTATGTAATTTAACTCAGTATCACAAGGCAAATCATGAAGTTGACATGCCAATCATTATGAAATTTATTATCTTTAAAAGGAATTTATGTTACAATGGGACTATCATCATTAACAATATAAGGATTAGCTTTATTCTAACTATTTTGGCTTGTCTTTATGAGTTTTTCTTTAGAATCACTCCTATTGAGTGCTTACACGGGGCATTAACTATTATCTTATTGCTTTTTTTATTTTTCTAGTCTTTTTTTTACTTATACATTATATTTTATAGATTAATTCCAATAATAGTTTTATTGATGCGTGCGTACTTTGCTATTTTTCTAGTGCCGAAACATGTTTAGTTTATTTGCATTGTTTTTGTATTTAAAAAGTTTTCTTTCCATCTTTTTATTTTAGCAAAATCCATCTTAAAATTCTTGTTTTTGCCATAATCAAGTTGATCACCAGTGATTTCCTTATTACCTAACAAACTATTCTACATTGTGTGGTTAATATGATTAGAGGTTTATAAAACTACCATAAAACTAGCATAAAACAAAGTTAAGTGTTGCCGAGATGAGAATGCTTAGGTGAATGAGTGGCTTGACACATAATAGAGACAAAATGTGAAAAAATGAATATATCCATGATAGCGTTGGTGTAGCTGGCAGACAAAATTAGAGAGAGTCGTCTTAGATGGTTTTGTCACATTAAATATTGACCATCTGACGATCCGGTTAGGAGAGTAGATACTTTAGATTCGACTTATGTTAAGAAAGGCAGAGGTAGGCCTAGAAAGAGAAAGGCAGAGGTAGAAAGGCAGAGGTAGGCCTAGAAAGACTTGGGCATATTGTATAAAAAGGATCTTAATTTATTAGAATTGAATGAAATTTGACACTCAATAGGTTGCAATGGAGAAAAATGATTCATGTAGCCAACCCCACTTAGTGGGGTAAAGGCTTGTTGTTGTTGTTGTTATTGTTGTTTGGATTCCTGAGATATCTCTCAATTTTAAATGTCCAACTTCATTGCTAGCATTTCTTTGAAAATTTTTAACTTTTTTGATAGCATTCATTTTGCTTTATAAATTTGCTTTCTCAATTTTCATTTTATTGATCTCAAACCTTTTTTTTAAGAAATGTTTCCATAATTCGATCATTTTATTTGCTTTTGCATGTCTCATCTATAATTTATTGTCATTTGCACATCGCATGCATTAAAGTAATTCACTTTGGATATCTTTGTTTGCATCTTTAGGACTAGTGTCGCTCGTTGTATTTAATTTTTTTTGTAAAAATTCTAAAAAAAATTATTCTAACGTCGGGTTTCAAAATTTTCTCGACTAATATAAGTATTAATTTTTTGTTGTAATTTGAGAACTCTTGTTATTATATTTAACTATGAACCATTGTTTCATCGTGCATGTCTTTAATAATTTCAACATACTTTTTATAGAAATTTTGTTCCTAAATAATTGCCATCAAATTAGTTCCTTTGGTACTTAATACCTTTTCGAGATAAATAAAATCATATAAATAGTGTTTTAGTTATCTATACTTTCCACTTATTGCTTTATCCAAAAAGAAGAAAAGGTGGATCAGTTTAGAGTGGTGATTAAATTTTCTTTAGCGCACTCGGGCGTTATCAAAGGCAAAGCGGTGTGTATCAATCCCTCCCTCGATCCTATATTGGTGGGAACTTCATTCGCTATATTTATCTAGTAAATGAAAATATTCATGTTAATCTTTTTGCGGTGTAAAATCAAATTCATTATTGGGTACTTGCATAATTTTTGAAATCATTCTGTTCATGTCACTCTTTAGCATTTCTTCTTTTACAAAACAAATCCTATTGATTGCACATATTTACATGAAACTGTTCTTCAATTTTATGTTATTTCTCAAAATATTATTTTATCTTTCATTGATGTCTGATTATTATTTAATTGGTTGAAACTAATTGTATAACATTTACAAGCAAACCAACTTTCAAGTCCTTTCATCACAAGTAAATAAAGCAATGATCCTTTCATTCCAAGGCATGCATCATAGTAGTCCAAATTTTATTTTCTCAAAAATAATAAATTTTTTTTCTTCTAAATTTAACAAGCCTTATGATGTCCTCAGAGATGATTAATTTTATACAAGTTCTCTCTTTTATACCTTATTAACCTCAAATTTTCTTTTAATTTCTCCTTTTATTACGAGAAATTTCCCTATTTTCTCGCTAACATGTAATCATACTTTATGAGTTATTCAACCTTCAACTCCCTTCCAACATTGTTGGATTAACATATTACGCATCATTTATGGTTAATCTCTTAGTACTAACTTTTGATATATCTTTAACTAGTGACATCCTTGTAAATCTTTTATTTCTTATCTTAATTTGGGCTGATTTGTGAGCAATTTTTGGGTGCTCAATAATAAGTAAATAAGGAATTATAATTCATTACATTATATAGCGGAAGTTAATATTTTGTTTGTTATGCCTTCTTTTTGCTATTGTTATATTTTATTTGCTTCTGATTTTTTTCTTCATTTTTGTTTACGATATCTTGAAAGAAAGTGAAACTCGCTGTTTTATTTGCAATTTATGTGTAATTGTATTTTTTTTAATCTGCCATTTACAAAATTGAACCCCTCCATTCAAGCCTACAATCTGTTGTTGATGATTTTTGAAAATTTTGTATGACAAATCTTTCGGCCTGTTAATTTACAGGGCCGCTTTGAAATCTTATCACTTTCTGGTTCATTTTTGCTGTCTGAGAGTGATGGTCAGCGGAGTCGAACCGGTGGACTGAGTGTATCATTAGCTGGTTCTGACGGCCGTGTATTGGGCGGCGGAGTTGCCGGACTTCTGACTGCTGCATCGCCCGTTCAGGTCTGTTTTTCTTATGCTATTATCATGCATGTAAGTAATTAATCTCGTTGCAGTGTTCATGCGAAAAAGATGAAGGTTGATGAATAGCCGATGCAATGTTTTGATCCCGCGTTCGGGTTGACCCTTATAATTTTTGGGTCAGGTTTGGGTTAGGAGTGCTAACCCATGTAATATTTTTGGTTGGGTTCAGGTTGTTCCACCAACCCAAAAATTGAAATTGACCCGTCAACACTAAATTAACTCAAGATTGACTCAAAATTAATCCAACATGGACCCAAATAGCTTTTACGGCTTATGTTAAGCGGGTTAGACCGGTCAGAATTGAGTCGGCGGGTTGAAGGTGGGTCTGGCTTGGGTTGGATTCTAATCTCTGTCACTTGGAAGGAGTTTTGTTTCTGTTTCTTCTCCTTCATTTTGAAAAGGTCCACTTAACTGTCTAGACAGAAGTTACTTCTGAAAGTAATAGGCCAGCTCTCCTCTTGTTTCCTATTTAAATCCATCTCTACACCTTCTTTCCTTTGAATTAGAATTGTTTTTTGTGAAAGTCACTGTTTTGTTGTAGGACTGCATTCTTTCTATTGTTCAGATGGCAAAAAGTAGTATTTTTGATGATACACATGCCACTGAGTCTTTATTATCTATTAAATTCTATGTTTTATTTAGTTTTCCTGTTGATTGAACCATCAAAACATAATATATATTAAATTAAAACAAAAAAAAAATCTTAATTCTTTTGTTTACAGGTGGTTGTGGGTAGCTTCATTGCAGATGGTGGGAGAAAAGAACCGGAACATACCATCCCAGCAGACATCGCTTCCGCTCCTGTAAAACCTGCTCCAGTTGGATTGCCAAACCCCTTAAGCCCCGCATCACAGGGCACGGTGAGCGAGTCATCCGGCGGCGGCCCCGGCAGCCCTGCGAACCGGAGTGCTAATGGCAATAACAATCAACAACAAAGCCTGGCTAATATGCCATGGAAGTGAATCAGAACCTATTTATTTAACCGTTGTGATATTGTGTTTCCTAAGGAATTCTAGATTTTGAGTGAGTGAAAAAAAATATATGATTATATTTATTGTTCTTTGATAAATGATTATTTAGCAGTGAATTTGGATGAATGAAATGTTATTGGTGATAGTTTTCTTGGGCCTTAAGATTTATATGATAAGATGTATACTGTATATCTATATCAGTTTATGATCCAAGTATTGTTTATTTATAATAGACTGTACTCAATGCTACTTTTTATGCTCAGATTGGACCATTTCATGTGACCTTATTTCTACTTTATATAGTGTTATGTTATGTGTGTGTTTTTTTTAATGGACATTGACATAATCGTCACCCAATCATATGCATTTGTGGGCTCTGAAAATTCTGATCCTCTAGCTTCCAACGGCGGAACCAGCCTCTTTTCTTAAGGTGGCAAATAGTCCCCCTGGGTCAAACGTAGGAGAGGTTAGGGTAACAAAGGGCAAAGTGATATTTTGAGAGCTGTGAGAGTTAAATTTTTATAAGATAGATTGAAAAGTAGATAGGATATTACTTAGAGAATTTGCCCTCATTTTGTAATGACCTTTTTGATCTGAGGTTCAAGGTTTCCCATGGGTGCAAACTTCTATGATTAATTACTCATCCTAATAACAGAAGAGTACTTTTGATTAAGGTTAGTCACTAAGCACTAAATATTTTACATATAGTAGTAGTAAACATAAGGTTTTAAGTTGTAAAATTTATCACTCGAAGTTTAAAGCAAACAATGGGGGAAATAATAAAGCCCAATTAAGATCTCATAGTTTCGTCATCCTGAACCATCGCGGTCCCTGATCAACTTAGTTAGAGGTAATTTATCTAACTTAACTAATGTGTATTTTTGTCAGCACCAATTAGTTGCGTCATCCACAGATTCTTATTGGTCTGGGTGAGTGTTTGTTTGTAAAAATAAATTTAAGTTGACCTTAGCTAACAAAATATTTTATGCAAATCAACTTGACTCGTATGGTTCACAATTCAAATGACAAAAATTTTTTGGGGAACTTATAGGCTACGGTCGGGATCATATTATACTGATGCCATTTGATTGTAATCACCCGAGGTTGCTTCAAATTCAACTAAGGATAACTTTTGGTCCCCATTTTTCTATTTAATTTTTGTCGGCTATTCATTTCTGCCCTTCCATCAATTAAAGGGTAGTGATAGATGCATGAGAGTATTGTTGCGAATCAAATAAATAAATACAAAGAGGGAAAGTAATTTTTCATAGAAAATGAATTGTCCTAAAAATTGTAGCATATGATTTGCATCTATTGGTAGAACAAGGAGAATACATTCAGACAATTGTGAAAAGCCGACAACTCTTAATGGATTCAACAAGAGAGAGAGTGAGCCAAATGCTGCTTACTTCTTACATTTCCTTATTCATGTCTTGCCTACCAAATAGGGACTTATTTAGGAGTGTTTTGTTTTTTTTTTTTTAAATAAGTCAATATAATGGAAAAATAAGTCAATATAATGGAAAATGTATTGTATTTAAAATATTTTAATTTTCTTAGGCATAAAATAAATACAATTTATCATTTTTTTTGTTTTTGATTAAAAGTGAAATAAAATAAATTTAAATCATGGTAGTGATTGATGTTGGAAAACATCATGCATTCCATCCTGGGATGGTGGGCTCAGCAGCTAGTCCTTGGAGATGCATTCAGAGAAGCTCCATGCTTATGTTTTGAATATGTTTGATTGATCCCACATTTCGGTGTGCTCCGAGTAATTGGTTTGGGTCGATGACTTAAAATCTATATTAAGTACTTGGTCAAAATTGGGTGCATTTGAGTCTAATGATTGGTTATTAATGGCTCACAACTCTAATTTTTTTGGATTGGATTTCTAGGATTTAGTGGGAGTTCAATGTGATGCTTATGATTCTTTAGGTTCATTTAAAACTTCCTCGTTTAAATATAAACCTAATTAGTTCTCTAAGAATCTTTAATGGGTCACATAACAGGTCATTTAATCATCATAATTTTGACCATATTCATGAGTGGTTTTGAATTGATTTAAAGCACTCGTTGAGCTCGTTATTTCTATTTAGAATCAAATCTTGTTCATTTGGTTTGATTTATTTTAAAACAAAATTTTTGGGTCCAATTAGATTATTTGGTCAAATTAAGCTAGTCGAGATTTTAAAGATTTAAATTTCATTCAAGTATGCTTTTTAGTGTTTTTCTTAACTTATTAACTTCATTAAAATCAAATTCATGAAAAGAATAATTTATTTCATTTGAGTGTCAAAATGGGTTGCCCAAAGGTTAAATGGCTTAAATTTGGGTTAAGCATGATTATTAATTTCATGCAATTAGATTGAGTTTTTTTAAAATTATAAGCATAGATAAAAAATTGGTTTTGGCTTAATGATCCTAAATAGTCCATTTAATAGTTTAGGTAGTCAAATAAGGTTGACTAAACATGATTTTAAGCATTCTAAGAGTTCATCTTATGTTCTTAGTCTCAATATCATTAACTTTTTTTAGTTTTGTTTGACTTGTTTTGGTTCAATTTGAGCTAGCTTCCAACTTTGATTTTGGTTATGATAGAGTTATGGTTTATCTAATGAAGCAAATACCAACCTATAATGAGTGAGTGGTCTCTTAAGCTCATAGAAAAGCTTTTATGTTAAGGTAGATTTAGTCTAATTAAAAAGAATCATAAGGATTTATAAAGTGGTTTTATATTCTTATGGCTAAAAAAATAGAAATAAAAATAAAATTGTTAGGGGTTCCTAACTTCATTTGATGAACTATAAGTATATATTTTTTTTAATTAAAACCAAATTGTACTCATATGATTAGTCTAGCACCATAATATGTTAGGGGTTCCTACGATTTCACTTAAAAACCAAAGTCTTTACGAGTTCCAACGGCTTCACCAAAAACAAAAGTGTTACTAAGCTCAAGCTTCTATAATTAGACAGATGATACTGTCAATAATAAATTACTTAAAAGACCGTATCAAGAGATCCTATAATATGAACAAGTCCCAAAGACTATGAAAAGACTATAAGGGGTTATTAATCTTGTTAAAGATGAGGTCAAGCCTCTCGATGTACTTTAGAATGCAATTTTTAGTTTTGAATTTAAAAATTTTTTTCTCCACTCAAGAATTTATCTATAGCCCAGTCATGCTGCTCATCTTATTCAATTATTTATAAGGCTGATATTCTCTAATTCTTATGCATTGATCAACACAAATTCAGTGCGTTAAAGATGATTTCATTGCATTCAATGTTGAACATAATGGAGTGGCTCACATTTTTATCATCATCAATTATTGTCATAACAATTACTAACTTAAGGTATGAGAGAATTACAGCTCATAACATTTGAAGAACTAATAAAGGGTGAGCTCGGCCTTAACAAGGAGGTCATTTGTCCTAAACTACCAAACACTTTTCTCCATCATGCTTATGTGTACTTATGTACGTGACTTCAATAGATGTGTCGGTTTTAAAAAAGATGGCGAAAAAAAATATAATTCAATCCTTTTTCGTACAATATTTATACTTTTCAAAATTTTTTTGACGCATGATTAAATCTTTCAACCTTATTTGCTTATTGTTTAAATCTCGACTGTACCTAGCTCGAACTTTATGCAAACATTGCTTGATCCATCTTTAGCCATAATTCAAACAACATTCGAAGATGGTTCAAGAAAGATTCAAAAACGGCTCTTTCAAAGCTCGAAAATGGTTTAGTTGTTTATAATAATTGATGTGATGTTTAATGTTATTATGTGAATTCAAATTATAATTCAAATATTTAAATTCAAATGACTAAAAAATAATATCATAAAGTTAGAACAACTAGCCAAATACAAAGATAATCTATCATTAAGTTTTATCGTTGAATCATTGTACATGCTTTGAGGTCATCAAATATTTAAAAGCCGTTGCGAGGAGAAAGTGGTTTAAGACATTGAGAGGAGAAAGGGTTGAGAATTTATCATTCAAAAAATTTCATGACTACTTACATGAGGGTTTCCTATTCTATTTGTATAAAGCTGAATAATTTTAGTTCAAACAATTAACAACTTTATCATATTAAGCTAGCCAATATAAATTTTAATAAGCTCAATCAAACCATAATTAGAATAAATAATATATCAATCAATCTTTTGCTAGAAATTTACCTAGTTAATTAACTAAAAAATTATATTTGAGTCAATTTTTTTTTAAAAAAAAAACTATTAATTTTTTTAAGTACATATTTTAAATTAAGTAATATATATTATTAATCCCCCCAAAAAATATTTATCATTGATAAAATTAATTTTTATAAATTTTTTATTAGACTACTTAAATTGTTCTTAAAATCACATATATTTTAAATTAATCTTTAATAAAAATATATAAATCTAATTAAAGAAAAATTATATATATAATCAAATTAAATCACAAATAATATAATTTTATATTAGACAACTTCTATTTATTTTTAATTCATTAATTAGTATAAATTATTAAAATTAACTCGAAAGCCAAAATTATAAACCTACCATTAATAACTCACCCAGTCGACCAAACCGCTTGTCTTTCTCCCCTTCCTCACTCGCGTGAAACCCTCCACGAAAAAGGTGCGCGGAACTTGACAGGGGAGCTTGCAGGCGCAGGCATCGACGGTTATTCTTTCCGAGGTTTAATACTCACAACGGAAATAAAAACGGGATTTTGCAGTGAGTAGGGCTTTCTCTGGCATATTTTGACGATCTGGCTGGATTTATGATGCATAAGCCCTGCAACTGTGTTTCAAATATTTGATTGGCAGCAACGAAAAAGATTCCTGGAACCCTAGGTCGCCGAAGAACATGTCGGCATGCGTTTACATACCTGTTCAGAACTCGGAGGAAGAGGTGAGGGTTGTCCTCGATCAGCTTCCACGTGATGCCTCCGACATAGTGGACATCCTCAAGGCGGAGCAAGCCCCTCTGGACCTCTGGCTTATCATTGCGGTGTGGTTCCTTTTTAGAATCCCTTTTCCTTAATATGTAATTTTCCTATTTCTTAAAACCTCACCCATGTTTATTTACTTAACGCCCCCCCCCCCCCCCCCTTGTTTTAGTTACTGCGGCTGTTAGTTGCATGCATGATTAACTTAGAACCGCCTTCATGAAAATTTGGTATCAGACGTAAGAATCTTTTCATTCAATTTGAACAAAGTTTTTAGGAAATTATCCATGTTGAGGAACTTTTATGCACTCACAATTTAAATTTGCAGTCTTGCTCTGGCTAGCGTGAAATAATGTATGTCACATGATAAATTTGCATTGATGCAACTAATGGCGTTGTGCGGAAGCATAATGTGGTCTACACCTATTTTCCTGTACCATTTAGTTTTTGTGAACCTTTTGGACACAGTTGATGCCGGTGTTAGAAGTAAAAAAATAAAGGCAAATGATATTCTAGCTCAAGTAATGTGGAAATTTTCAGAGGTGTTTTGGAGCTTAATTTTATTGACCGGCCTCAAATTGAAATGAATTGTTGATCTTGGTCCGAATTACATTGAACTGTAACTTGGATAGAGCAAATCATTAATTAGATAAATAATGTCATGTTTGGAGAATTAATTTGGTTTTATGCTAGAATTTTATTATGAAAGGGATTTTTATTTTTTAAAATTATAACGGGTAGAGCAAGGAACTTCATTGAGTTTTAGTCAAAATATTGTATATGATTCAGTATTATATTTGTTTGTTTGGTTTTGATTAAAAATGAAAAATGATATTCAAAGGTTTTTTGAATTTTATTACAGATATGTATGATATAGCACTAAATAATAATTATAATTGTGGGCAATCAAATAATTTTTTTAATAATAGTAGGATTATATAACGGATCAACATTGAGTTCATTTTTTTTTAATATTATTTATAAAAACCCTAAACTAAGGAGATTCAAGATGAGGAATTTCGGTTTATTCCTGTTGTCTATGACATAGTTTTAGTTTTCGAGACATCTAACAAAATAGTTAAAAATTTGGATTGATGGGTACAATTTTTAAAATGCAAATGTTCTAGAAATGATACAAAAAAGGTTTAAGTATATGTCTGCAATTTTAGTGTGATTTGTTAAAATTATCATATAATGCTATATGAAGATTAAGTGATACCTGTGTGTTATATGTCAAAGTATTTTTGATATATTAATCACGAGGATATGGATGTGTATTTATTTTCCAGGGTTAAGGTTAAGTGGTACAAAATGGATATGTTCTTTATATTTTTATTTGATTTTATGCTATCATAGAAATTTAAGGGTAAGTTTTGTAAAATTAAAATTGTAAGTAAATTATGCTGTATGGAATCAAGTGTTGTGTAATAGAATGGTCATTGATTATTAAGTTATGTGCAGTGGAAATGATATTGTTGAGGTTGATGTTTTGAAATAGTAGAAAAAATAAATTAAGTAATGATTACTTTAAAAGACAATTGGAGTGGCATATAATAAATATAAGATATTTGCAAATAGAGCTGTTATTTGGACATTTACAAAGAATGGTATCATTTATACCCATTAGATGGATAGACAATCTTAGCGTGCATAGCTTGGAAAGAAAAATGGTAGATCTATGATAATATGAATATTATTTATTTAAAATAATTTGCAAGAAATATGGTTAACATTGTCGGCAACAGTAAGATAGGAGTGTGAAATGAGAATTCATAAAGGTTGCTTTAATGATGATGATTTATTAAACAATTTGACTAGGATTAAATTGTTTGTTATGATTTTAATCAGAAGGTGATTCAATTAGATTTTCATTTTCTCTAATGACCTTTGTAATTCCACATACTCTTACTCTTAAATCATATCATCATTATCATCATTATTTGCCTTATCCACAGGTACAAATACTATCTGGAAATACATTAATACATTCTCATGTCAATTTCAAAATCTTTCTATAAGCTATAGTTAGGGTGACAACATTGGACTTTTAATGAGCCATCCTTAACTTGGTCAACTTGAAAGTAATCCTTTTTGGCGGTTCTACGTCCGACAGCGTGATCGACTCGTAGACAACTATACGTTTCAAAATTGATTAGAATAGATTTGATAAGAACATATACACATTTTTCAAACAAAGTTATATTTTTCGCTACAAACAAAATTGATACAACTCTACATGTTGATTACCTGTTTTGGGCTAAGGAGTACCCTCCTAAGTTAGGTTCAGTAGGACACCCTTCTAGTCGAGTGGTGGACTTTATACATCCGGGTGACCGAGTAGCCTTCAACGACCCTCGAGTACAAATATATATTTGAGCCTAGCCCCGACCCGAGTGCTTACGGTCCCCTCTTTTCGGACTTTTTCATACGTTTTATTGGAATTTTTAGATAAAACACTCGTGGTCTTTTCTCCGGGAATTTTTTTTGAGGTTTTTTTGACAGTTTTACTTAGATTATTACTCACCGATTTTCTTGAGTTTTCCGTCATTGATTATTTGTCGATTTTCCTCGAGTTTTCCAGGTGACGTTTCCTTTGTTGATTCACTTTTGCCTGTATGATGCATGCTAGCTCGTTCCTTAAATTCCATTGCTCTACTTATAACTGCCACATCAATTACATTTAAAGGAATAATAGACCTCCTAGGTATACATGTTTGCTTCGTGTTTACAACATGTTACTTTCTTACAGCCGCTTTCCTGTCATACATTCTACTTTTTTTTACACCGTATGTTGTACTGTTCTTTTTCACCATAAACTCTACTGTTTGTCCTGTACTACACACTCTACTGTTATTCTATATACTGTACAACTGTTGCATGTCCTACTGCTTTCATATATACTGCTTTTTTTCGCCATTCATGGTACTGTTTCTCTTGCACATCATACCTTAGTATAGGCGGACAGTAGTTGGTTTTATAGGGGGTGCCCGGTAGCAGATCGTTGACTCAACAATTGCATGTACGTCGAACTCAAAGGTGCTACGACAAGGAGCTTAGAGCTAGCGTTGTGGGCAACACGACCATTTTCAACAGCAGAACACGTCTACATCAACTAAACCATTCCTTAGAAATTAAAACACCAAGCAATAGGATTTTGAGGTTGTTTGCCTAGTGCAACATAAATTCTCAACCTTTCTTTAGGCATTTGTACAACTCTACTGTGTACTCTAAGCCCTAACTTGTTTTAGGATTCTGAGGTTGTCGTTCGTCACGACCTAAATCCTCATATCTTCCAGGCTATTTGTGTGATCGTCTCACATAAATGTAAGCCCTAATTAAATAAAATTGACATGATCAAACATTTGAATAATTTCTCATCGAAACTGAAGTCAAACCATAGAGTAGACTGGGAAGTCGCTGAGGTTCTCCTTCGGATCTCTGGCATGCCCTAATTCTTCCTCCTTTGGACTCTACAACAAAATGTTCCAAATTTGAACCATTCCCCTTTCACACATCTTTGTCCGATTTTGTTGAAAAGTTTTGTTCTTTGTCCGATTTTGTTGAAAAGTCCTATCCTTTTGAAGTTCATGAAGTAATATTTTCTGATTCTTATCGAGAGTATTCTTAGGTGATTTCAGTTATCTAAGATATAATTAACCATAGAGGCTTGCTCTTATAGGAAGCTTTCCCGAACCCAGCTTAATTTAAACCCTATTTAATTCTTCATATTAAATAGAGGAACTTGTCGGCAAATAAAATGGTTTCGCAGACCAAACGAATGTCATATATTTCTTAGTTTATTTGATCGAGCCTCACCTTCAAGTCTTGTATTTGTCCTTCGGGATAGATACAAGATTTGAGGTATAACACCCTTTCATTTAAACTATGAAAAATATGTGGTCAGTTTGATTTCATATTTTTCTAAACTTAAATCTATGTGTAAATTAAAACGTTCTTCCGAAGCGGGCGACGATTTATTTTTACCGTCGCATTAGCAAAAAAGAAGTTATTGAATCATGCTTAATTTCCCTCTGAATCTCTGTTTGGCGAAGGAGATGGAGAAGGAGAAAACGAATGAGGTGGCTGAGGAAATCAAATTAAAAGAACCAGGAAAATGCCTGTCGAGGAGAGAGAGAAAGATTGCTTTGCAACAAGATGTAATTCTTCTTCGACTTGATTTCTCTCCTCTATCTTTCTCACTCTCTATACTTATATGTCTTCTTCCTTTGTTTTTAAATTTTCATAACTTGCAGGTTGATAAGCTGACAAAAAAACTCAGGCGTGAAGAGAATGTTCACAGAGCATTAAAGAGAGCTTTTACCAGACCCTTAGGTGCTCTCCCACGCCTCCCTCCCTATCTCCCTTCATATGTGAGTACATTTCACAGATTCATTCTCATTTTTATCTCATGAGATATTTATTCTGAATTATTACCATCTCCTCTGTATCTCAAGACACTCGAGCTTCTTGCTGAAGTAGCTGTGTTGGAGGAGGAGGTGATTCGGCTTGAAGAAAAGGTGGTAACTTTTCGACAAGATCTCTACCAAGAAGCCATTTTTATCTCTACTTCCAAAAACAAGAAGGAAACTGGATCGGATTCATTCTATGATCAATCAGAACAACAGAAAGCTCAATCTCGACTGAACGCTTCTGCGATCAGCACCACATCGCCGTCGCCATCAAAGCGGCGATCTTTGGACGGAAACCACCACCATTTTCCTTCCATCTATGTTGTTAAAGAGAACCGGCTTCCAAAGAAGCACGACTCTTCCCTGTCTGAAGAACATAGAGGAAAAGAGAACCAGGTTAAGTATTCATTAGATTCTTCTCTGGAGAATGATTTTCTGTACATATACAATCTAATTGTTACTCTAATCTCTCTTTCCAGCCAAAAAATCAAGCAGCTGATAAGGTAAGAAAAGTTCCCACCTTTCAGAATCCCTCTGATAAAAAGTCCTGTAAGGAACTCAGCGGACCAAACAAATTATCAGAGGAGATCTTGAGATGTCTCTTGAGTATTTTCTCAAGGATTAGCTTGGCGAAGAACGCAATGGCGATGGAGAGCGAGTTTTCTCCTTCTGTTTCAGCCTCTTCTGAAGGTTTAGGGATTCAAGGATCTCTAGATCCTTATAGTATTTGTTCACAATTTGGGAGAAGGGATGTAGGCCCATATCAACACCTCCATGAATTAGAAGCAAGCTCGATCGATCCAAATCTCATCTCAAACTCATTGTTTCTTACACAAAGATTGAAGTAAGTTTTGTGAGCTGAATTAGTTCATATTAACAGTGATACTGAGTTAATTGGGATTTAATTATGATTTAGATTACTGTTGAAGAAGCTCTCATCTGTGGATGTTTCTGAGCTTACTCATCAGCAGAAGCTTGCTTTCTGGATCAATATATACAATTCATGCATCATGAATGTAAGCTAAATACCCACATCCATTAAATCCTTTTGCTTTTCATTGTAGGGTCTTTTAAATCTACTTTTAGTTGTTGGCTTGCTGTTGGCATTGCAATCATGTTGTGCGTTGTTTGTAATTTCATGCTTGCTGGACTTTCTACTAGCATATTTGGAATAGTCGTTGGTTTCACAGTTTCTTTTATAGACCTGATCCTCCAAACTTAAATTTTTACGGTATGAACCTTTAGGATGGTTGTGAGTTTTTCTAAACAACAATGTAACATATTTGTTTTTGGCTTCTTGTATCTCATTCCGTAATTGTTATTATGACATGGCTTTTTTTTTTGTGATTAGTGATTCATTGGATTGTATCTTATCCATGTTTCTCCTTATAAGTCATAAGGATTTATGTTATTTATTGCTTGATAAGTATTGTACCAAGATATACTCATCACAATTAACTTTTCATTATGTTTTGAGTTATTGCCTTTTGACAGCTTGTTTTCATTCATTCATTCATTTATTTATTTATTTTTTCTGTCGTTATCTAAATTTAAATGTTGTAATTTCCCATTTTATTTAGCAGTCAGCTTTTCATTTTTTCTATTTTGTTTGTACAGAGGGAATACTTTAAGCAAGGAAAAATTGAGCAGTTCAGACAAATTTTGGAGGAAGGGTCTAGTCCTGGTATATGTTTTCTGGATATTCCATATTTTTTCCGTTTGACTATGATTCATCAACCTACATAGCTCCAACATATTATGCAATAATATTTATGTACATTGCATGACATAAGAAATTGTGAATATTGTCCAGAAATAGATGAATACTATGCTGATGTTCGGTATGAACGGATTGCTATCCTGAATGCTCTTGGAGCTTACCATACTTATTTAGGAAAGATTGAGACAAAGCAACGGGAGAGGGATGATAATTTTGTTTTAGCAACTCAATATTACAATCGAGCATCAAGGATTGATGTTCACGAGCCTTCCACTTGGATCGGAAAAGGTAGGTATCACTTGATTAGCCCCTTTTAGTTTCACTTTTTATAATCTGCAATAATCCCGCTTATACTGAGGAAGGCTGAATTAAATATTCAAGAAACTTATTTCCCGAGCTTTGCTTATATCATATATCATTATTCTGAGAGTACATGGGTTATCACATTCCTTGAAGCATTTATTTTTGCCAAATTAAATATTTCCTTCACGGGATATATGATCATTTTCTCTGGGAAAAACTACTTGAGAATTAGTCTTTATATTATATGGCCCTTGGCTTCCTGTTTTCCAAATTTAGAGAATGCGGTTAAACATGACTTTTGCTAAATTAATTCTCAGATAGTGATAAGAACCACTTTCAGAGTCTCGTGTTGCGAGAGCGATCAGAATTAAGCATTGAATTTTGTGAGGCGGTTTGTGTTAAAAATATCCAGAGGCAGGCTGAAGCATCAATTAATGAATTTGATTTCAGTTCTAGATAATATAGCATATATTATATGATAGGCAGTTATCTATTGGTGAGGTTGATTTGAATTCAAATTAAAGTTATTGCCATTTGTCATGTTGTACCTGTTTGGTGCATAAATTGGTTGCAGATTTAAATTTCCAGTGAATGACATGGTTGTTGAGGTAGAAATGGATTTAGGTATATTTAAATTGAAATTTAAACTTAATTCCTTATGCCTCTCGTCACTCATATGAACAGACATGTGCCACCTCCAGGAGTCATTTACACCACTTTAATATATCGTTAGTACTATGGTGACATGAACTTTTACCATGATCTATAAGGTAATCTTTTCATTCTTTCCAATAAGTAGTAACATGCGCATGCTATGATCATTTTAATTTATTTTAATCCTGTTTTTAATGGTACACACACAATTTTGTTATTCAATTTACACCATACAAGTGGTCCAGATGGCACGGTATGGAAATTTTGGAATTTGATGTTACGTAATTTTGTTATGCTTTCTACTGTAATATGAATCTATATTTCGTTTGATTAAAGCATCTTATTTGCTGGGTTCCTCATATTGTTTAGTGTCGTTCTTATGAAATAAATATCATTTGAAATGATTTGTCAGAATTCTGTTTCAAATTAGGTTTACCGTGATCATCATAGACTATCCCAAACTAGTTGGGGTTCCCTTTGTGAATCTTTGTTCTTTCATTCCCGTTGTTTTGCTTAAATCATATTTGTAAAACTTGAATGTACTTTTCATACAGATTCATCTAATCTCAATTGTTTTCTTGCTAGCTTTCCTATGTTTTGATATTTCTTATGACGGTAACCTTCCTTTCTGTTTTCTTTTGAGTGATATCAAAATTATGACACTAATTGGAAAGGCATGTGTATGAACTTTTTATCACCAGCATTGTCTTCTCTTCCTGCTATCCTTCGCATATTATTGAAGTTTTTGAAGGTTCTTTCTTGTGATCATCAGTGGGATTATGGTGCAGGGACTATTTGTACTCGTCGGTTGTTTTTATGTCTTGACTTGTTCATGCAGGCCAGCTTTGTGTCGCCAAAGGTGATCTCGCACAGGCATCTAGCCAATTCAGTATTGCTTTGAATGAAGACCAGAATAATGTTGCTGCACTTCTTGGTCAGGTACTTATGCTCTGTGAAGCTCGCACCCGCCATCCGTTACAATTCAAAATCTCTTTCACGCCAAATATTTTACTTGTATATCGTGACTTGCATATGTGATTCACAAGCTTACCATGACAATACAAAGACGATGGTCGAAGATGGATGCAATTTCACGAAGAATTGGTTTAGGACACCTGGATTACAATAAAAAACTGTAATCCATTTGTCTTATAAGTCTTAAAAGCACCCTCTTATATTTCATTTGATTTACAATGTAGCCTTAAAAGCTTGCACACTTTAAAGTCATTTTGAACTTGAAATGTTTGCAAAATATTGTGATTTTGGGCTACACAATTTAATTTTGTCTTAAAAATGAATAGCCTTTTGTTCGCTGGCAGGTGATATTGTGAATTCGGTGATGAAATTGGATTGTGAAGCCTTTATTTTGGTATTTGGAAATGACATTTATGTAACTTAGCCCCAGTTTCATATTTAATTCATTTTGCAAGTTATCGTATCCAAATGATTCAATCCTAAGAGTCTAAACTTAAAAAAAACCTAAGTTTGAATAAATTTTAAATCCTAGAAGCCTAAGTTCGAAATGGTCAAATTTGAATTAATTTTAAACGCTAGGAGGATATTCAAACCTTAGAAGGCTAGGTCGGAAAAAAAAGGCCAATTTTGAATTTTTTTTTGTAATTTTAAATGATTCAAAATTTTAAGTTTAAATAGTCCAAAATCTTAAGTTATTTGCAAGTTTAAATCACTCGGAATTTTGGCAGCCTCCCGTCATATACTCCCATTAGGGGGTATCTAGGAGAACACCAATCTGCTTAACTGTTTATGAGACACGCTGGTCAGTGTTGCGAGAGACTACTATCAGAGTGCAAAGTAATGTATTTTAACCCACGGTCTATAAGACACTGCAAACCTTCAATTTACCTGCAAAAAGTAAAACACAAGCACATATTTCCCCTTGAATAGGTAATTTACTTTTTGAAGTGATATTTAAATTTCTGGATAGGTGCTCATGTTTTTTAGAATAAGTACTTAAATTCCCTTTTAAAAATTTCCCCCAAATGAGCATACAAATTCTCAGAATTTCATTTAATTCCTTGGATACATACTCAAGTTCCCCCAGTGGGTAGTCTGAAAATTTTCGCTTGACCCCTTTTTATATCTTTGCATGAGAAATCGACGAAGTTGAAGACGACGACGGTGCTGAAACGACTGAATTAGCATAATACAACTTTTAAATTCTTGGAACTTACATAATGTATAATATATATCATATATAACGAGAGATGGAGTGAAAAAAAAGAGGTTAATGTTGTTGGCTCGGGTTAGGAGGGTGAGGAGCGGGTCGGTTTACTTTTACGAATAGAAGGACCCTATGTAAGTGGCAATGAGAAAGGGATAGAATCAGGACAGAAAGGTGGAGACTGGTGTTCTTCATGCGATTCTTGTGGCAGGGAGGGATAAGAAGGGGCTCGACTAGTGGAAGGAGAAAGGGATTTCAGAGTCCTTTTATATCGTGATCCCATTGTAGGTTTAAGGAGAGAGATGAGAGTGTCGATGCAGAGAGAGCAGGGAAGCGGCTAGAGCTTGTGTAGAGAACGGTGTGGAAGTTGGGTGTAGTGAGAGGCGCAGGCATCAGTGCAGGGAGAGCTGGGAAGGAGTTAGGGCTCGTGCAAAATGACATGTAAGTGGCATGCAGGGAGAGATGAGCAACAATCCATAATAGGGAAACAAGGAGGAAGATGTGCAGTGGATGAACGAAAGAGGAAGGAGCGGAATCGCGCTTCTCTGTCGTGCAAAACATAGAGGAGTCACAGGGGCTTCCAGATGGGAGCGACCACGAGTATTCCAACTGAGAGAAAATGCAATAGTGGAAGGGATTTCATGTAAGAAATATTATTATATATTTCTTACAAATTATAATATATTTTTTATTATAATTAAAAAAAATGCAACAGTGGAAGGGATTTCATGCGAGACATAATTAGAGGAGAAACAAACAGGAGTTGAAGGAAAGCGAGAACCATAGACGTGTGATTTAGAGGGGTGGGTACATATCGTACGGTTTTACTTTGAACAAAAGCTCGAACAGTTATTAACGTCGAGTGGGAGCAGGTGTACAAGTGACTTATATTAATTAAGTTTAATTAAATTTAATTAATAACATTAATAAATTTTAAAGACTTGTTAATGTCAACAACACACTCTAACAAAATGGAGCGGCAGGCAGGAAAAATCGTTACTTTTTGGAGGTAACTGGGACACTTCTCATGCACAATCAATCACCAAACTAATATTGGGTTGAAGTTGTTCTAACAATAATCTATTTAATCAAGAGAATACCCTCTAGAGTAATTGATTTCAAAAGTCCATTAAACTATTTGATTGAATTATTTTTTGCCAAAAGCATTTTTATGGACCCTCCAAAAAATCCAAAAAATTGATGTATTGCTTATATATTCTTATCCATAAACAACCTAGGGGAAAATTTGATCTAAGAACTCTCAAGTGCATATTCAGCGGATATTCTACCATATAAAAATGATACAAATTATATCATCCACCCACATAAAGGTTCTTCACTTCAATGGATGTCACTTTTGATGAAACCCATAATTTCTTCACTCTAATTCCTCTTCACGGGGGGAATTCTCATCTTGTTAAATTTGATATTATCTTTCATCTTGACATGCAATGACAAAAAATCTTTCAAATACAAATTTTGCATCAACCATCTCTTTTCAGTTCTATACAAGAAGGAACAAACCCATCCAAGATCTCCAGTAATTCCAAGACTTAGAACCGTTAACAAGCAATGCTACTCAACCCACTGCCACTCATTTATATCTTATCTCTCAATACACCCCATTCCATAAATTTTTTCATTTCATAAAATCTTTCTAATCAATATCAATACCAATTATATTTTCTTTCCACAAATTCTATTTGAGACATTTGAAAATAAAGGTTGGAAGGAAGTTATGAGAAAAGAAATGAACGCATTGAAAAAAAGCGTACATGAGAGGTCACTGAATTACTAAAAGAAAATAAGATAATAGGTTGTACATGATTTTTTTACAATGGAATACAGTGTAGATCAGAGCCTGGAAAGATATAAAATAAGATTATAGCAAATGAGTATACTCAATATTAAATTGATTTTCAAAAAACTTTTGCTGTTGTTGCAAAAATGAATACTATTCACATTCAGATATTCTTAGAAGTCAATCACAGGTGTTCTATACAATAATATGATGTAAAAAATAGTTTCTTACATGGTGATATCGAAGAAAATGTCTATATTGGTCCACTAATTGGATTTGATAGCTCTTTTAAAAATAATCAGGTATGCATTTTGAAACCTATATGGACTAAAACAATCATCGAGAGCTTGGTTTGACAGATTTGCAAAGACTATAGACTAGATAAAAATAAAGTCAAGAAGATTACACTCTCTTCTTAAAAGACTCCCTTAATGATAAAATCTTAATTCTTATTGTATATGTTGATATAATTGTTAAAGGAGATGACAATTAAGAGAAATAAACTCTTTAGAAAAACAATTGCCAAAGATATTGAAATTAAAAAGTTAGAAAAACTCAAATACTTTGTAATAGAAGTGACTTAATAAAAACAAAGGGATATTTCTCTTCCACATATTATAGATTTGCTGAAAGAGACCAAGATGATAGAGGGCAAGCCGTGTGAAACTCCAATTTAACTAGGAGACATTGTATCTTGTTGAAGTAGCTGATGTAGACAAAATACAATATCAAAGGTTAGTGAAAAAATTAATTTATTCATCTTACACTAGTTTTTGACATCTCATTTGCAGTTAGTTTGGTTAGTTAATTCATGCACAAACCTAACGAGTCACACCTTCAAACCATTTTTATATTTCTTAAATATTTTAAAGCAAGCCTATGTAAATGAATTGTATACAAAAGACTTGATACTCTACAAGTTGAAGGATACATAGATGCGGATTTTGCTGGATCACGGATGGTTAAAATGTCTACTTCAAGGTATTGCACATTCTTATGAGGAAATCTCATAACTTGGAGAAGCAAGAAATTGTCTGTGGTTTTAAGTCCAATTCTTGAAGCCAAGTTTAAAGACACTGCACAAGGGATTAGTGTGCTTCTATGGGTTAAAATTATATTAAAGGGTTTAAAGTTTAAGTGGAAAGAGCTTATGAAATTATATTATGATAAAAAATCGACTATCAATATTGCGCCCAATCTTGGACAACATGACTATACCAAACATTGTAAGGATGATATACACTTTATAAAAGAAAATTGGAAGCTGGTTTGATTTGTTCTCTATATGTGCTCACAAGAAATCTACTAACTGCCATATTTACCAAAAGAATTTGCGACCCAATATTTAAAAATACCATAAGCAAACTTGGAAGGATAGATCTCTAGTATACAGTTTGAGGAGGAGTGTTGAATTTTTGCTCTAAGCATATCAAAGAATGGAAGGCACACAGAGCAATCTTTATACTTTTGGATCTGTTTATTTATGACTTATATTACAAAGAACTCAAGGCATATGGATTGAGGCTTTGTACAGTTAGATTAAGGCACATAGATTGAGGCTTTGTACTATTATATCTGTCTCTTAATTACTAGGTTTCTTCACAGTAAATGTCTACACTCACCTCGAGCCTGTCACCCCGATAAACAACCTGAAATCTATAAATATTTTTGGACTTTATAAATTTTTGGCTCATAAAATAATTAAACCCAAAAAAGTAACATTCTTACCTCAAATCAGCTTCTTGACAAAAAATTTGCCTTCCTGAAGTTGCCAAAAATCTTCCCTTATTTACTTACCACATCAAATCTCATTTCTCCTCTAAATTCATGCTAAAACCTTTACAGAAACTCACAAAGAACTTTCGACGCTTTTAACACACAATCAGTGCTTTCGACGGCTACCAAAAACAAAAAAATATGAAAAATGAGGCAAAACACAAAATGAAAGTGCGAGGA